GGCTGGCAGCCTCCTTCCTGATGTGTGAATGTTGGACCGAGGGAAAAATATGTAGGACTTAGAAAATTTTCTAAGTGCTGTTGTATCGCATAGCCTTCGGCTATCATATTCCCTTAGCTGTAATATTGGTTGGGCCGGGGGCCCAATCTTTAGGACTTAGAATTTTTATTCTAAGTGCTGTTTCCTTGTGTCGCCTTCGGGTGATGGGTGCCCTCTCACTCTGCGTCACTTTTGCGAGATGCCCGGGGGCTACTCCTTTAGGACTTAGAGTATTTTCTAAGCGTAAATTGATGTTGAGCTTCCGGATGTAGATCCCTCCGGGTATATGAATAGGACCCTTCGGGTGATCGTGAGGCCCTTGTGTTGTATGAGTATTTGACCGAGGGCCAAATATGTGGGACTTAGAAAAATATCAAAGTGTGTCGTAGATGTTGAACCTTCGGTCAGTGAGGAGTCTGTCCGAGGGGAAAATATTTTGGAATAAGCCCCCTCGGTTGGCCTTTGATGATTTGTAATAGATGCCTTCGGTTGTCGGGTGACATATTAGCCTCCGGTTGTTGTCATTTTCCAAAAGTGTGGACTTAGGAAAAGTGTGGAATCCTGTTGTTGTAAAGAAAACCGATGAGGAGTATGTGCCCTCAACATTCACCTGAAAAGTTGTAGAGTTTGACTTAGCCAGTTATGTCCCTTGTCATGGGGTAGGGGCCCTCGGTATTTGTTTGAAGTACCGTTTAGTGGACTTTGGATAGTCCAGTCCCTTTGTATTGTTGAAGCCTTCGGTGCTTGTGTGACCGGAGGTGACCAGGCAGTGGACTTAGCCGTTTCTTGATGATATTTGTTTGAGTAGTATCCTTCGGGAAACAGGAGCCTTCAATTACCGGAGGTGTTCCCGTGGGGAGCCCTCGGCATGTTGTGATCTGTTGGAGTGTACTCTTTGATTTCTCGCTGAGTCTACTCCCCTTCAGCCCTTTTTTTTTTGGTTGGTGGTGAAGGGAAGGCATCAAGAAACTTGGTTTCTTGGTAAGGCTGGGCCTATCGATATGTAGCCCCCGGTACTTGGTACCGAGGGGTCTTCTGCAGGAACACTTAGTGTTCTTTTGACGTCGACGGGTGAAATGTGTACCCCCGGTACTTGGTACCGAGGGGTCTTCTGTAGGAACACTTGACGTTCTTCTTTTTTATGTTGATGGTGGAGATGCGTACCCCCCGCACTGGGTGCCGAAGGGTCTCGTGTAGGAACACTTGGTGTTCTTTTTTTTTCCGATGATGATGGTGGAGACGGGTACCCCCGGCATTGGGTGCCGAAGGGTCTTCTGTAGGAACACTTGGTGTTTTTCTTTGTTTTGATGCTGATGGTGGAGGTGTACCCTCAGCACTGGGTGCCGAAGGGAAATGAAACACTTGGTGTTTCTTGTCGTCGGTGATGGGAGTTCCCACCCTCGGTACTTGGTACCGAGGGGTCTTGATTGAAAACACATGGTGTTTTCACCGTTGTCGTAGGTGCTGGTGGTGTCCGCCCTCGGCACTTGACACCGGAGGGGGTTCTTCTCGTGGTGAGGCCTGGGGCCTGTAGTTGGTATGAGGGCTTGGCCGCTCATAAGTGTTTTGTTCTTGGTGTCTTGAATGTGCCTTCATTCTTCAAAATTGGAGGCCTTGGGCCATAGGATAGTACATTTACTAGTTACGAGGGCTTGGCCGCTCTTACATTATTGATAAAATTTAACTAAGTGGTGTACATTACAATGCCTAGGGACCTCTTTGCCGTTGGGGCGTTTGAGTTTGTAAGTTCCAGGTTTGATGATGGCTGGTATGATGTAAGGACCTTCGAATTTTGGTGCCATTTTGCCTCCCTCGGTTGGTTGGCTTGCTTCCCTCCTCCGGAGGACATAGTCCCCCACTTGGAATTCTCGGGTGCGAACCTTGGCGTCGATGTAGCCCTTGACTTGCCTTCGGTAGTTTTCTGCCCGTATGAAGGCTTGCTCCCGGCGTTCTGAAAGAAGGTGGAGGTCGAGGGCCATGTTGCTGTCGTTGACCTCGGGGTCATATTGGATCACCCTCCGGGTGGGAAGGGTGACTTCCGTAGGAGCTTTGGCTTCAAAACCGTAGCAGAGGGAGAAGGGTGTTTCACCTGTTGCTCGCCGAGGGGTGGTGCGGTAGGCCCAAAGGATGTTGTGGAGTTCTTCCACCCAGCCACCGCCCTCGGCCTCTAGCTTCTTTTTGAGGCCCTCGAGCAAGGTCCGGTTGGCGTTCTCTACTTGCCCGTTGCCTTGAGGGTAGGCAACGGAGGAGAAGGTGTGTTTGATGCCCCATGCCTCCAGAAGGGCACAGAAGGGGGATGCCTCAAATTGTGTTCCATTGTCGGAGATGATCTGCTGGGGGACGCCAAATCTTGTGAGGATGTTCTTGAGGACGAAGTGACGGCACTTCGCCTCTGTGATGCTGCCGAGGGGCTCAGCCTCCACCCACTTGGTGAAGTAGTCGATGGCCACAATGATGTATCTGTTGTTGGAGGTACCCCTCGGTAGAGGGCCCACAAGGTCTATCCCCCATCGAGAAAAGGGGACAAATGTGCTGATGGGGGCATAGTTGACCGCTGGCCTGCCGGGGGCTTTCTGGAAATGTTGACATGCAGTGCACCTTCGGGCAAGGTTAGCACAATCTCTGGCCATGGTTGGCCAGAAGTAGCCCTGGAGAATGAGCCTTCGGGACATGGAGAAGAGTCCCTGGTGAGCTGAGCAAGTGCCACTGTGCACCTCCTCCATTGCGACCTCGGCTTCATCCTGATGAAGGCACCGAAGTAGCGTGCCGTTGTAAGACCGTTTGTAGAGCCTTCCGTCTTCGATGGTATAGCTAGGAGCCCTCAGTTTTGTTAGTTTAGAGCGGGTCTCGTTCTCGGGTAGCTGCCCTGTGGAGATGAAGGTGATGATATCCGAGATCCAGTCCTCTTGGCGTTGTTGTATGTTCATAACGGGGCTTGCATGGATACTTGAGAGACTGAGTTCCTCAATTTTGGCAATCTTGGAGATGTGCTCGGGGGAGTCGGCCGAGAGCTTAGATAGTATGCCGGCCTCGGAGTTCTGAGCCCTCGGTATTTGAGTGAGAGAGTGTCCCGGGGATCCTTCGGGAGGGTCTCCGCCCCCTGCGAACGAACCCGGGCCGAGTGGGCCTGGTTGATTTGGTGGCGAGCATCATCGGCATGAAGGGGTGCCTTGCCTTTGTCCCGAGGGGGACGCTCCTCGTCTGCCCTCGAGACAGACCCTCCGCTTTCCTGGGGCCTTTGGAGTGCTTTCCCTCCGAGGCGGTCTTGGACCCCTCGGCGGTCTGGCCCTCCTCCGAGCCGGTTGAGGGCGGAAGTGCGGGGCCTTTCTCCGTTGTCATTGTGGCGGTCCCGGAACTGAACTTCCTGGGAGGCCGTATCTTGGGCCACTACCCCTTCGTCGTTCCTAACCCGAGGGATAGGGTTTCCGAAGGGGTGTGGTAGAGGGGGAAGTATGATGTTCTCCCCAACCTGGGGTTGAGCCGGAGCCAGGGTGCCGAAGGCACCTGGGTTCTGAGTGAGCGTCTGGATGAAGGCGGAGAACGCCGAATGAACGTCGATGGTGAGAACCGGAGGGCTGACTTGGTCATCGCTCCGGTTTTTCTTCTTGGCCTCGATGCCGAGGCGGGCATCGGGGGCATTCTGTTGGATCTGAAGGCGTAGGTTGACAACCGCCTGTTCCAGCCCAGCGATGACACTGCCCTCGGGAGCCCTGTGAGAGGCTTCGGGGGCGTTGACGTCGCCGAGGGCCAGGTTCTTGTCTTCCACGTTTTTGGAGTTGGCACGTGTTGTTCTCACCATTTTGGTAGAGGGCTAGTGTTTGGCGAAGGGGGAGGGTTTCTTACTCGATTGTTCGACCTCTCAACGAGAGCACCAAATGATGGATAGTGTACCCGGGGGTAGCTTATCCGAGGGGTTATTACGGGGAGTAACAAGAGAGAAGTCAGAGCAAGTAAATGTAGAGAGAGAGTATATTATAAGTGTGGAGCGTTTTCAGCGTGGTTACAAATGGGGAAATGGGGAAATGGGGTGCTATTTATAGTAGCAATAAATGCCGGACAGGGACACGTGTCAAGCGCCCATTGGCCGAGAGGTCACCTCATCTGGTTGGCGCTGGCAGCCGCATGTGGCCGCATTTAATGCGGCTGTTGGATGGGACGTCTGTACAGGGTACGGTGATCTGTACGCATGTGATGCGGATATCATGTCGGGAGAGGTGCCCTCGGCTGCAGAGGACTAGCCGAGGGCTCCTAGTGTCGAGGACCCCTGAGTGTCGAGGGCTCCGGGTGCCGAGGGCTACTATTTTCGCCGTTTTCTCCCAGTTCCTCTGTTTGTTTGAAATATCCACGCTGTGATAGTTTGGAGCCTTCGGCCAGGGGGCCGAAGGCACCCCTGGTGCGTATTGCAGGCTGCTTGGTACTCTGGGCGCCGTGATTTGGGCCTGTTGAGCTTCCTGGGTCGGTTGGGCCTTTATTGGTGTAGTAGGAGTCTGTGGGCCGGGGTTGCCCGGGTCATATACTCCATCATTATACTACATACTCCCTCCGTTCCTAAAAATTCTTCTTGGTTTGACTTGGCACGCTTATTAAGAAAGTGAAAATGTACGGTTGTGATTGTGTAAGAAAAAAGTAAAATGAATGTGAGCCACACAAATTGTCCAAAATGGGAAAGTGGGAAGTATTTTTGGGAACAGCCCAAAAAGGAAAGTGGGAAGTATTTTCAGGAACGGAGGGAGTATATTACTACTGATCAGTAAAACACATTTAGTGAGGAAGAAAAATATAGATTCATCATTTTTTTTCGTTGGTCGTTTTAGTTTTCTTTACTCAAATTGTTTGAATAATGAGTTATGTTGCTTTAAATCAAATATTAATTCAATTTTAGAAATTTTTTATAGTATTCAATTAATTTAAGTATATGTATTTGGTTTGAAATTTTTTTGATACTTTTTTATATTAATGTGGGGCATTTTACATTTGAAACCCCTGTCTGAAATTCATTAGACCCTGTTCCCCACAATAAGGATTCAAGCACGAGATAAACCTCTCTAGAAGGAATGGAGAGCACAGCAGGGGCACCTGTGCATGCTCAGATGGAGGAGTTGAGGCTGAAATGTGTCGGTGAAATACCAATCATGCAGAAACAGGTCGATTCTGTCTCCGTGTCCTTCTTGAAGTCCCTCGATTTTATCAATTCCAGGTCTAAAGAAACCGTTCAACTTCAAGGTGTTTCCTTCTACGTCTCAGTCGTAATTTAACTAGGGGTTTATTTTTTCAATTTTTGGTAAAATGGAAACAGAGAAATGGGGAAATTGGGTCCTGGATCTCTGTGAGACCATCTCAGGAGCTGAGAATTTGTGCTAAAGAAGTTCAGCAAAACCGTTTTCTTCTGTTTGTGCTATGATTTTAAGTTTATTTTTTTGTTTGTGGGTCGGACAGAGAAACTTAAGACATTGAAAGCCGAACTCCCGGAAGCGGAAGAGGGTATGCTGAACGCGCTTGAAGGTATCTCTCTGGATTCATATAGACCCTTCTCTTCCGGGCACCCATACGTATATCTGTTGAGGTTTTCCAGCGAGCTCTAACTTTTTTATTCTTCACCTTGAGATATGCAAATGCTTTATAATGGGCTATTTTGATGCTGAGATTTGTAGGAGAAGAGTGGGAGCGTTTAGTCTATATCGTGATAAATAGAATGTTTGCAGGATGTTGTTGTAACTGTCAGGGGATTAGGATACTGTATTTTCACTAGTATGGCTTATGAACTCGCCCTCTACCTTTTCCATTCCCTTTCCTGGGAACGAGAAAGATTGAAGAATTCAATTTTGGTTAATCATGCCTAGGGTTGTAAATGAATCAAATAATTTAAACTCGATAATTTATACTTGATTCGTGATTTGAATTCGTACAAGGCTATTCGAATTCGAAAAATTCAAATACAAATAAGAATACTAAATTTGATTCAAATTGTTATCAAATACAAATAAGAATATTAGTGTATTCGATTCGAATGTTAATCAAATATATTCGATAAATAATAGTGATAATATTAATAATAATATTAATAATAATAGTGATAACATTATAATAATTATTAAAAGATAGCTATACGCCTATACCCGCAAAGTGTATCCCATATATACATTTACGTATACAAATTCAAGCCTATTTGTAGTAAATCAGAAGTATCATACGGAGTAAGGGTTGTAAATGAAGCAAATAATTTTAATTCGATTAGTGATTTGGATTCAAAAATTATGATTTAAATATGAAAATATATAATATAAATACAAGGCATCCCTAAATACAAATCATCTTTTTGAAAGAATATGTATTCAATTTAAAGAATAATCAAAGATATTCGTTTATACATATACAAAATCAACTATCTAATATGCATGTGTGATGTGTGTGCATCAACTATCCACTATGTGTGTGTGTGTTTAGTTTAAATTATACTCCGTATATCTAATGGTTTTTTATTAGCAACAATGCTAAATATCTAACATAAAATTAGAGTCGTTTAACTTTGATATATACAATTATCAACTTATTTCACACGTTATAAGTATAATTTCTAATATGTGTGTGTTAGTGTTGATTTCAAAATGTTTGAAATAGATGTATATTTAAATTAAAATCGTGAAATTGATTCACTTTATTATATTCTTCACAATCTAAAAATGCATTGATCCATTAATTTTTAAGAAAATGTAATGTTACAAATCGAATTCCAAAATCACATTAAGTCATAGCATGCATTTATAACATAAAAATATGGGAAAAGTTATTTTAAAGTGCTATTTGACTAATATTTAACTTATGCTCAAATCGATTCGATATTCGTATATGATTCGTTAACTATTCGTATTGTTAAACAAATACAAATCAAAATTAATATTCGTTTCATATTCGAATTCGTATTCGAAAAAATTAAAATACAAATACGAAATTTCACTATTTGACTCGATTCGGTTCGCTTACAACCCTAATCATGCTGCAGTTGTGGCAGGTTAGGTAACCTCAATTCCTACTTTCTATGGTTTCCATTTTCTGATACAGAAAAACTACAAGACTATAATTTTTCTAGCAATTTCCAGCCATGGCTACAATCAGAATTTCTCAGTCGGATGCCAAAAGGCACTCAGTTGTCAACCAAAATTGACAACCCTTGGACGCGTTGTTCAGTAGAAGCTTCAATGCCATAGTGCAACATTCTATCACAAATTTTCCAATGCTAAGTAAAAACTCTATACAGTACTTGCAAGCTTTCAGTGAACATTTTGAAATTTACAACCTGATTGGAATAACTCAGTTTGACGAGTTGCTCCTACGGGAAACTTCTGTAGACTTCAAAGGAGACTCTAACTGTGACAGAATATATCTCAAAGGAGTCAGGGTGCTAGTTATTCTCTGACTCATCAAAATGTGGAAACTCATCCAGCCATGGTCAAATCAATTGAGTAGCGGTGAAGAAGAGGCAGTCATTATGATTAAAATCCCATGGATCCTGACATAATGTAACGACTAAAGATACTTTTGGTTGGTCTCATAGGATTACTGAAGGTGAGCTTGCCCACCTTTTGATGTTCAAAAATGTCAATACCGCTCACATATTGCTTGGTCGGGATTACAATCCATTTATTATTGATCTTGGGTTGATAAGTGGAGTGATTGTTGGTCGAATGAGTGAGGCTAAGACACCTTTACTCCTGTTCGGTTGGTGCTATATGTAGGGTGTAGCCATGTGGGATATATACTGTGATGTGTATTAGTTTTGTGTGGTACTCATAAAACTGGATTATGTAGATAACAGAAGAAGATGAATATTTGCGCGAAGGTCATATTCAGTCTACAAATGTGTGGACCTTGAAAATGATGAAGCCTGGTTAATATCGTGATGTGCTCCATACTCCCAATGAAGACCCACTCTGTAACAAATACAATGGAGTGATGGATTCTAGTTACACTTGGATTGCGCTGCGTTGAGTTTGATCCAGAGAGGCGGCCATCTAGTTCATGTGTTAGGTGTCTGGATTTCTTACCCCTGGTGGAGAACTGTGGGAATTAAATTGGCCTAAAACAGGCCCCGGTGCCAAAAGAACTTAATTGTTAGGTGTCTGGTTATAAGTTGATGTTAATCTGTCTTGCAATGGATGACATATTATCGTCGTAATTAAATCATTTGTTTAAAATGTTATACGTAAAAGAATGTTATAGAATCACACATTATAAAAATCTTTTACCTGTTATAAGATCTCCCATGTTACCATGTACATCAAGATATTCACTAAGTCCTCCAAAGCCCCCCCTATGATAGAACACTGGTAATTCCGATTCAGAACACAATAGATTCAATAGGAAATTAACAAGAAATGCTATTAGAAGAGTTTATTGAATTGCGAAAGAAGAACAGAGTATACAGGCCTTGGACGATTCGAGATGCCCAGTCTCCCAGTTCTAAGTTCAACCGAATTAACAGCCTACCATTCTTAGACTCCAGACTTCTAATTGGCAAGGGCTGTAATAAACCTGCGGGTTGAAGAGCTTGATATTTGGGAGGTGATGCAGGATCCTCCCAGTTCTAGAGGGAATTGGCAAGGGCTGTAATAAACCTGCGGGTTGAAGAGCTTGATATTTGTTTGTTTGACATACTGCACATTCTTCCACAAACTTTTTAATATCCCTTCTCATCCCCTGCCAAAAAAATAAATTGGATATTCTCTTCATGGTTCTAAAGTAACCAGAATGCCCTCCCACAGCTGAATCATGATATTCCGTCAATATCTTGGTTACTCTAGGGGATCCTTTAGGTAGAACCAGTTTCTTGTTGTAATATAACAATCCCTTAATAATATGGAACTCTGAATGCTTATCTGGCTGTGAAATAACTTGCTGAATTAAGTCCTTGCATATAGGATCTGAATTCAACTCTTCTTCTAACCCCTCCCATTCTTGACAAGTCACAATAGACAAGGATTGCAATTGTGGTCTTCTAGATAAAGCATCTGCAACTCTATTATCTGCCCCAGGTTTATATTTGATAGTAAAATTGTAACCCAACAATTTAGAAGTCCACTTTTGTTGCTCCTCACCCAATAACCTTTGCTCAGTCAAGAATTTGAGACTTTTTTGGTCAGTATGAACCTCAAAAGTCCTACCCAACAAATAAGGTCTCCATTTCTGAACTGCCAACACAATAGCCATAAGCTCCCTTTCATACACTGATCTGTTTTGATTCCTTTTGGACAATTCTTTACTCATGAAAGCTAGTGGTCTCCCTTCCTGCATTAGGACTGCCCCCAGACCTGTCCGAGATGCATCTGTTTCAATAAGGAATGTTTTATTGAAGTTAGGGGCTGCCAAAACTGGTAGTGAAGTCATAGTTCTCTTCAACTCTTCAAAGGCTTGTGTAGCTTTCACATCCCATTTAAAACTGTCCTTTCTCAAAAGTTGTGTCAAGGGTAGTGCAATTCTACTATACCCTTTTACAAACCTTCTATAATATCCAGTTAAGCCCAGAAAACCCCTTAATTCCTTCAAGTCTTTGGGTGCTGGCCAACTAACCATGGCCTCTATCTTGGTTGGGTCAGCTGAAACTCCTTCTCCAGATATAATATGTCCCAAATAGGTCAACTGAGGCTGTCCAAAAGAGCATTTTTTAAAATTCTCACCACCAACTGGTTATCTCTTAAGGCAGATAAAACTGCCCTCAAACGCATCTGATGTTCTTCTCTTTAGACCTGCTGTAGACCAAAATATCATCAAAAAAACTAATGCAAACTTTCTCAAGAAAGGCCTTAAAACTTGATTCATTAATGCTTGAAAAGTGGATGGAGCATTAGTCAATCCAAATGGCATCACCAAGTACTCATAGTGCCCTTCATGTGTTCTAAAGGCTGTCTTCTTTCTGTCCTCTTCCTTCATTCTAATGTGGTGATAACCAGATTTCAAGTCCAACTTAGAAAAAATTCTGGCCTCCCCAAGCTCATCCAATAACTCTTCAATGATGGGAATGGGGAATTTATCAGGGATAGTTATTTTATTTAGTGCTCTATAATCACCGCAAAACCTCCATCCACCACCTTTTTTCTTGGCTAACAGTATTGGGCTGCTGTAAGGACTGTTACTGTTCTGAATAATTCCTGAATTTAACATATCCCTGATGATTTTCTGAATCTCATCCTTTTGATATTGTGGGTATGTGTATGGTCTGATGTTGGGAATGTTAGCACCTTCCTGAATGTTAATGGAATGATCACACTGTCTCTTGGGAGGTAGTCCTTCTAAAGGCTGTGAAATTTCAGGAAATTCTGCCAATAGTTTCTTCCAAATAGGTTCCAGCTCTTCTATTTGATCCTTCTGCACTAAATTTCCTTCACAGTATACAAGATATCACTTGAATTTACTGATTTGAATGAAATTGCTTGAGAGAAACTACTCTCAGCCAGTCTTTATTTATAAGGCAAATAATTACAAGGAAAGAATCACATGCACATCAATTA